CCCTTCCATAAAGGAACATTTAAATCTAGACACCCTTAAGACGACCATTTCAGATCTGAGAAAAGTTTCTTGCACTATTAAACAAATTACACTGCCTTTTTGCATATAACAGTTATATGCGAAATGAAAACATAAAACTAAGAGCTGAGAATTTGCTGCAGCCTGTAAGCAGCAATAAGCTTGCACCACCTGAAAAAGGCAGGCACAGTATGATGGGCAGCTCTGGTGCAAAGCATCAGTTGTGACACTACATGTAGACAGATACTGCTGTCCAAAATAATGTTTTCACATAAGGTACACACACCTACATTGGAGCGTTCAAACAACTCGTTCGAATTATGAATGTATCTTCTTTCATCAATAATTTAATCCTATGGCTTTCTTACACACTCTTCACATAACCTATGCTAGAGAAGGCTTCTAGGTTGTTTATAACAGAAATACATTGATAAGAGAAGGAGACCACTCTCTCCTCCCATAAATATGTTTTCTTTTTCTCCCTCACATGATATCCAACCCCTTTAAAGATGTAAAATCCATCAGACCTCAGGTAAGAATTTTAACATCTTTCAAAACCTCATTCTGAAAGCCTGAAGAGATCTAAACATGAAGAGTTCTTCTGCTAGTGCCATCATGGAAGCAAACAAGCTGCTTGCATAACTGCAAAGAACAAAAGAGCATGTGCCAACACACTTCTCTGTTTGGTCTTTACATTATGAATCAAGCTACAAGCAGACATGCCTTCAAACGGACAATTTCTTGCTTCGCCTCTCAGGGCCTTTTCCTACATGCTCTCTTAGCCTTTTCTTGCCACCGTGTTGGTGATCAGACTGCAATGTGAATTGTAGGCCTTCCTGCAATATAAACGTACAATGGCTGGGAGAGTATGAGCAAAAAGCTCACGCTGCTAACTACTACTAGTTTTCTATCAAATCTGCTTGTTCAACTGGAGTTAGAGCAAAAAGTATTGAAGACAGCATCAACAGTCACGAGTTGCTGTCTGCTGTGCAAGAGATGGAGTAGGCCATGGATATTTGCCTCATTGTTTATCAGTTCAGTTCTTTCACTCAAACAGCACATCCCTCTAAGGAAGAAATTGGAAAAACGGCCACAGAGACTAGGAAGAAAACAATGACGAGAACAAGACACGAGAATAAAATTCCCTTCCCTTTGTTGCCTGACTGGGCAGCAACTCAAGTGGCAAAACTGTAGGTAAAAGTAGCTCATGCTCTAACACCCATATTTCATCAGCCTCTGGCACAAAACCTTCCAAAGAAAAGTGTATCTTGTCTTCTCACAAGAGGCACTCAATGAAAGATTAGTCAAACCACAACTGAAAGAAAACCTCAAAAAAAACCCCTCAAAAAACCCCCACGCAACTCCAAAATACCCCCACTTGCCTCCCCTAGGCTAGTTAATTTTGAACCCTGTCATCTTGCCATATGGAATACATACTCTACAGTTTAGACTGATAGGGCACCAAAAGGATAAGAGTAGTAGACTACCTAATCAGCCAACACTAAATTTCTTCCCCATCAAGCCCTACAGAAGGTCTACAGGCAGACTTTGTCCTCAGGTTACCAATCTCTAAACATCCACTGCAGGCCATCCTCAGAAACAGGATACTGCATCAGACAGACCTTTGTTATGCCTGGTATAAGTTCTTCATATAAGTAAGGCTTCCTCAGGCTTTTAATATTTGGGAAATATTGAACGTGTAAAATTACATTATGTAATTTTTAGATAGCACAATTTAGAAACACTTCAACCGCTAAAACTGAAAAACTGGTAGATAAGCAGCAGTCTTTTAACATAAAAGGAAGAGAATGTTAAATTAGTAAAAAGACACCAAGTGAACTGGCTTATACTTGTCTCTAAATTCCTGATCAGCTTGAGGCCTAAGCTAAAAACGTCCATATTTTGAAGCCCTGGGCTAAAATCACATTCAGTATTAGTGAAATAAGACTGCCCTTAGGTCGTTTCACTGCACTAGATCTCTATTCTACCGCATCTATGAATTACAGTAGCTGAACTTACATGCCACCACTCCAGAGCTGCCCTTGCTGACAACACTTCTTGCATCAAGATACCATCCTATCCCGCATATGTACATAAATTCCTTTCATTTCAGCCCTGTTTTGTAGTCTAAAACATGCTATATTGGTTAGGATGTATACCCTACCTTTACATTCTGAAGAGAAGCCAGCTCAACAGCTTTTTGGGCCAAAGTTAGCAAATTGGCTTCTTGAGAAACACGCCGTCTCCGTCGTGTACTCTGGATTACACCACCTCTGACACCCTGAAAATCATTAGCTCTCTGGGTGTTTTCTTCAGCTGCTGCCGCCTGTTTCTCCCCTTCTCTACCATTCTGGGCTGGGGCTTGCCTGTCTGTTTCCATCTGGCACAGCTCACTATTGACCAGGACATCCTTCTGCCCCAGATCCATTCTCTTTGGGTGCAAATAGCTGCTTTTGTTGTGGGCCAGTGATTCAGGCAGCTGCTGTAATGGGACCTCTTGCTGATGTGTTTGCCAGTGATGCAGAAATAAATTGCTAGATTGTTCTTCTGCCTGCTTGGAAGCCAACACTTCTCCTGCAGATGTCAGCAGGACACCTTCTTTGGAGAGTCTCCTTGACCTTCTTGGAAAGGGAATCTGGGTCTGAGGTAGCACAGTCTGTTGGTTCTGCTCTGTTAGAGCCTTGAATAGTTCCTGGTTCCTCTCTGTTTGCTGAAACTGGTGTGCCATCATGTGATGCTGAGGTGCTGCAGCTGCCACATGAGGCTGTGCTATGGAAGTAGTTTGCTGCAGACCGAAGGCTTGTGTGGCAGCCTGTTGCTGCTGCTGCTGTTGAGGATAGAAGTTTTCAAACAGTTGTAGCTGGGGAAGAGCTTGCTGTTTTTGTTGAGCAGTAAATGCTGGACTGGAAGAAGCTGGGGCTTCTTGAAAGACATGTAACAATTCAGGAAGACCCTGCTTTTGGCCTTGGTGACCAAATGCAAGTTGGAAAGGCTGTAACGGCAGACTTTGATTCTGCTGCTGCTGTTTCTGCATCTGATGAAAAGAATTCATTTGAGCTTGCTGTCTAACCAGGGCTTGCTGTTCCAGCTGAGCCTTCTGGGACATCATCTGCTGGACAGCATCTCCATACAAGTCCAGCTGTGAGACGAACACTCCTTTCTCTTGATTTCTTTTAAGGGCTTCTGGGTGGCCATAGAAGCCCGGGGCACCAGGATTGGAGTGGGGTCCTTTTGGGTTGCCCCCAAAAACCATACTGTGGTTCCACATCGAAGGTGGAGACTGCCAGTGGCTGTCGCCCCTCTCTGGCAACCGGTTTCCCATTAGCGAATTCTGCCATTTGACAGCTGTTACCGTCTGGGACATCATCATTGATTCTCCCCTATCTTGACTGTAAACGGAGTTCATCAAAGCAACATTATTGGGTGCATTTGTTAATCCTCCTGCGTGAGAAATCTCCACAGTCTGGGAGACCGGTATATTCCCACCATGGCCATAGTACTGTCCTTCCTTAAGCTGCTGCTGTGGTTCTTTTGATGACACAGCTATTTCCTGCTCATTAAAATAGGCAATTCGTTTCCCAGTCCTTTTGCTTGAAGATTTTTGCTGAGCCTGAAGATTCATGGTTCAGTCTATTCTCCCAGCTACACACACCGTATTTACAATCCACCCATCCCTGAGGCTGGGGGAGGAAAGGCACGGAAGTCTCTCTGTTCCATTCAGTTTTAGTAATAAAGGGCAGGAAAGAAGTCCAGATGAAAGTGCATCCACTTCCTTTTTCTTCGTGTGCTTCTCCCACTTCTTTTCACTCTTATCCTTTGTGGTTCAGAGGTCAGTAGGGTCCACTTAGTTACAGGTCCTGAAATAGAGAAGCCATTGCAATGAATCATCAACAGACATAACTGGCATATAAACCCTCACACGATAAGCAACAACGCGTATGTCTGTCCCATTTCCCACGGAAATGAAGATCAGGATAATACGTGTAAGAAATAGTAGATCTGACCTGCTAGAAGAATGTAAAACAAAACAACTTAGTTTTACAAAACGGGTGTCACACTGTGTTTGCATGATGCAACTCCCAATTGCACACAGAATTCTGACTAATCACTCAAGCTCATCCTGAAAGTTCTTCTCTTAAACTCCCTCTCATCTGGCCAATTACTTCTATGTCTTCCTGTAGCCAGAATAATCTGTTTTTAATCTGAACTCAAAAACACAAAACCAAAAAAACCCTCATGACTCGCCAAAAGAAAAATAACATGTCAGGCCACATTTCCCAAAGACATTTAAAACACACACATGTACACGAAGGCTGCAGCCAAACACGCAGCAAGATGCTCAGTTCAGTGTTTTGACGGAAAAGGTCGTGCGGCAGCCCATCATTCACTCCCCCTCCCCCAATCGTTGCAGTTGCTTTCCAATTAAGAAATGCCCACCGAGCATCCAAGCACTGAAGACAGGGCCTGCTCAACCTGTTGCCCTCTCAGATGCTTTCTTCAACAGCTGAAAGCAACTGCTCCTGCTCAGGTCACACTCACAGAAAAGTAGTTCAGGCAGCTGATCCCGGACACCAGCAAGTATCTGTTAGTGTAAAGCTACAGACGTAACGGGAGAAAGCCTTTCCCGAACATGCAGTCTAGGACAATTCTACCCTCCTCCTCCACAGAAAAAAGCTATCCACAAACTTAGGCTTTAAAAGCCTAGTTTGCAGGATTAAGGTCTAATGTGTTAACACATACACTAGCATTTCTAGTAGGACACCTAAAACCTTTTAAGAAGTTTAGTTTTAAATTTAATTAAATTCTTAAAGTACTAACACTCAAGAAATTAAGTGCAAGTCTCTATTACTAGCTCTTTTCAGTATGCACTCTGTTCCACTTCAAATCACACTGCCAATATATTTCAGAAAGATTTTAATAAATTGTTAAAAACCTATTCTTATTGCATCCCTTCTGCTATAAATTCAAGTTTCTCTTGAGTGGAGCCAGTAAGACTAACACATACATCCCCCCTCCAACAAAACCTGCAATCCATTTATCTTTCTCTATAAAATGAAAAATAACAAAACAAAAGCATACAGCACGCTGAAGTCCTGTAACCTGAGTTTACTCTAAACAGATATGGCTACAGTGCAGATTTTAGTGCTGGGGTGGGGTTGGGAGCATGATGAGGAGGAGAAGACAAAGAGTTTAAATTAACTTACGCAACTTCCACCTCAGAGGCCAAGCTTGGCTTCAGTGCTACTGGAACCATGGGCCTGTGTTTCAGAGCGAAGTGACTCACTTCCTCAGGCTGTTACATAGCCGTTCCCCCCACGCTCCCTCCCCTTTTGCCCTGGCTACAAACCGTGGACCTCTGCCACCCCGTATCACGGAGCCAGGGCGTTCCTCCCTCCTCTAAGCACAATGTCTCGGCTCATTTTCCAGTCCTCTTTCAACAGGACGAAAATAACTCTAGGAGAAATTATGGACACGTGAGATGGAAAATTCTCCCTAAACTGCAACTAGTACACAAACGAGGGTTCCATAAAGTAAGTTTTTCCTATTTCAAAACTTCATTAGGAGAGGAAAAAACATCCTACAGCAGGAAACTGCATCCCCGGTAGCAAAAATGTAGAGGTGGAAAGGTTGCTATATGCCCCTCAGAAGCATTAATGTTATTCTGTCTCCTTGCTTTTTGCAGCACTGCTACAAATGTAACAGAGCTAACAGCTAAACCACAATACCTGAGGTAATACTACTAACAATGGTTTCTGACACTATCTTACTTTCTGAAATCATCACAAACTATTTTTCTCTCCAAACTAGACAACCTCGTAAAGTTCTCCTTCCACTGATGCTTGTGTGTGCTTTTGTATTGATCAGTCACATTATCCTAATAAAAAGAATGCAAGTTTTTCTGTGTATCAGAAGATATTACCACTAGATCAAATTTAAACCTGCCAGACAACCTCTGCTGTAGATTTTCTACACTTTGAGGAAGAATGCAAAGATGACTGCCCAAAAGCTGGCATACAACTTCAAGGGTCCTTGTTTTTAACCCTTCTAAAAAAGAAAAAGGAAAAAAAGAAAAAAAAAGAAAAGAAAAAACAAACAGCTGGTGCTGTTCTTAATGGTGGTGGCCGAGATTTGCAACTACCACACACACAAGTATCCAGAAGATCTTTAGAAAGAGGGCTCTCAGGTTAGTGAGAAAGCATTGCATGAGCACAGCTCTCCAAACCTCCACTTGTGTGGACTTTGGCTCTGTTTTTGCCATTACTACGTAAGAAGCCACCAGCATTGCAAAGCCTAACTCAGACCAGTTTAGAACTGCACCTATCTAGGAAAGAGATATAACAGAAGTATTAAGATGCAAAGTTTACAAAAAAAGTAAGTTCAGAGATAACCTAAAGGAGGGAAAGGAATATGTACTTGTGTGTTCCATAAAAGGAGTCCTAAAAAATATTATATGCCTCTTAGGGAAGTTATCTTGTCACTTGAGAAGACTGTAGTGATTGAAAAACAACTGAAGTTACAACAGCACAAAAACCAGGATAATGAAAACGACATTACTGGGGAGGAAAGATATTTAAGGTACTTTGAACAAAACACGCTTATTGAACTTCCCAGCTCTCCCAACTGCATGCAAAAATAAATGAATCCTAACTAAGAGATCACCAAGAAAAAAAGAGGATTTGGTGGTATTAGATGGTAAAAGAAAACATCACAAAATTGGCTTTTTAGAATTTCTTTCTATACAGAAAAACTGCAGAAAAATATCTTGTAGGTCATACTAATAATAATAGTACATCGTTTAAGCTGAAATGATAGATGTTCAAGCTGCAGCATGACTGTGTTCCAGGAAAGCTCACACTTGGCAGCTTCACTGGCTGAGCACTGCTGGCTCTATGACTAAGCAGGCTTCCCTCCCTGAGGTTGAGGGATGAGCTCACATTATCATCATCCTAGCCAATTACCGGCTTTGGGGGCTTTTTTGGTTTTACTTTAATTTCAGCACAAGAGTCAGCCTGCAGTAGCGCAATAAAATCGCAACACACTTCCAGGCTTAAGCGTGCTTTGCAGCACTACACCCCTGACCATTTCTTACCTTTGAATAAAGCACAGAGCCAGTTCCGATACCGTTAATTCCCAGAAGATACTGTGTCTTGCCTCCAAACACACTGAAGTGTTATGGTACCTTGCATTGCTTTTACACTACACACAGAAAAAGCAGAACCTATCATCAGTATATTTTGTTTTAATAACTCTTAAGATTTGGCACGCAACTTCATCAATCATTTTCACTTCCAGGAACTTCTGGCATGCAAGAACATCTCTCGACCTTTCTTCAGATGAATATGAATTGTATGTCACCACCTTTAATACTGTAAGTATTTTCAGATTTCTAAGGAATTTTTCACGTTGCAAGGCTTTCTTTTCTAGACCTAAAAAGAATGTCAAATTAGATACACATATACCCAATGGGCACTTCTGCAGTATTTTCTGGAATGAAAAAAACATAAGCAAAGTAACCTATGGCACCTTACTGAGAGAAGTTAGGGTTAGCATTTTTAGCTAAAACTTCTCCAGCATATCTGCTCTACAGCGTTAAAGAAAATCATAAACACATATAAAACACATGTGGGCTAGATTTAGGCAAAGACTCCTGAAGGACTTACTTAAGTACACAACAGGACTAAGGAGGAGTCTCTGCCTGCATCCAGGATGCTGTTCTCAAATTAATAAAGTCGTTTCAAAGCAGAGATATCTGAGGAGTGCAGGGCACAGGCACTCAGAGCCACTCACTAGGCTGGTACCACCCCTGAGCACCCATTAGCAGATTTACTCAACCCAAAGTAGGTTCTGCAGAATCATTTAGACATCCCTATCCATCGCAACCATCTTGTCCCAGTTTATCTCCCTTTAAAACTTTTTGCCTGTATGTTTAATAACCACCCACCATTATTCCATTTCTTTAAATACTCTCTTCACTAAGTATGTGCATATTTGTACAATTTCACATATCAAGTTCATGACCTCATGCGCTGTAGCAGCCTTAAACGCTATGCTTCAGCCCAGCTGTTGAGGGCTGTGCTGTCCTGTGCTATGCTTTGCTTAGTTCATTTGCTACACCACCTATATTTGCCATGATAAGCAAGTTTAAATTTTGCACATTCCTAATCTCCTTTGAGATCATTTGCACACAATTCTCTCTGACAGAATGCTGCAGAAGTGACTCGGGAAAGACTCTGACTGCTCCTCAAACCTTGGCAAAGTTAAGGATGCAGAAAATAATAACAAGTGGTCGCAGACCCTTCTATTTCACCACTTTAATCTTAGCTTTTAAATACTTCTATTTTAGTTTTTTTTACGTGAAAACCAGAAAGTGTTCCTGGGTTCTAGCTAACGTACATTGTCAGCCTTAACTGCAACAATGCTGCCACAGTTCCTTACAGGAAATCTGTCAAATTAGAGTGATGAGAATAATTTCTCACTAAATCCCCCTGCTGCCAGCAACTCAAATTACTGATCTCCCCTGTAAGCTCAATTGCTTTTAACGATGATGAGATTCCAAGACCAATTTTTACATTTAAGTCAAACGCAGCAAGCTAGTCAGTGTCCTTCTGAGACAGAGCAATTGAGCCTTCCTTCTCTAATTTGCTCATTATTACGGTCAAATCCCACATTTATGAAACAGGTAAATAATCATGACACACATTTTACTAATGAGGAACAAAAACAGAGGAACTAACTCACTTCTAAGATCACACAACCAACCAGGTCAAAAATCAAGAACAGAATATAGGATACTAGCTACCAGTTCCCCTCCAATCCTGCAAGAAAATACAGGTTTAAATCTACATGCAAAAG